TTTCGCTACTAACCGCGCTTTATAACGTTCAACAGAACCATCAGCATTATATTTGGTTTTAAAAACCCACTTACACCCAATTGGTTTCTTTCCATCAGGCAGATCACAGACAATCCAAGTGTTTGTCCTAGACAGTGCTTCTAACTCCAGATTCATGGCATTTTTCCAATGATCAAACTTCACAGCATGTGTAAAACAGGTGGGATCAGGTTGAGTAGAGATGGACAAAGCAAAATGTTTATAAGATAGATGAAGATTAGAGTAAGAAAGAAAAGATGATATTGGATAAGGTGTGGTCTGAAGGGAAGATGGAGGCCTGGTATGATTAAATTGGTAGCAATGATAGCCAGACAAGTATGCAGGTGCTCGTATATGTCTATGTGGCCTATCAACATTCTCTGATATTCGGTCTGCTTCTGTGAAAACTATATCCAATGGAACAGATTCCACAGAAGGTGAAGAAGTAAAACCAGGAGAAACATCAAAAACAACATTTGAAGGAGTAGATTCTGGAAAAGGATTAACAGAATCATAAAGAAAATAAGAATCTGAGACAGACCTTGGGAAAAATGAGAGTGTCGAGTCAGGAATGTGATATGTTTTGAAAGGGAATTTATCTTCATGAAAAGTGACATTGCGGGATATGGAGACCTTATATGTTTCAAGATCTAAAACTTTAAAACCTTTTGTTCCCTGTGGATAACCAATAAAAACTGAAGACTGTGCCCTTGGAGAAAACTTATGGCGATCCTTTAAAAGAGTGCTTACATAGCACAAACATCCAAAAACTCGCAAATGATCATAAGAAGTTTTCTGACCTGTCAAAACTTCATAAGGAGATCTGTTTTGTAAAACAGGGGTAGGAGTTCTATTTATCAAATATGCAGGTGTGAGAATGCATTCACCCCAAAACATCAATGACACATTAGATTGAAAAAGCAGCGATCTAGCAACATTCAAAACATGTTGATGTTTCCGTTCTACTACTGAGTTTTGCTCAGGAGTATAAGGACACGAAAAGTAATGATAAATGCCCCTTTGCTCAAATAAAGCAGTAAAACGAAGTTCTGGGGCATTATCCGATCTAACAGCCTTAACTTTTGTGGAAAACTGAGTCTCAACTAGATTCAAAAAATTTAAAAATTTTGTGTAAACATCAGACTTTGACCGCAAAAGATAAATCCATGTTACTCGAGAACAATCATCCACAATAGTGAGAAAGTATTTGTATCCTTCAGATGTTGAAACATGAAAGGGTCCCCATACATCAATGTGAACTAATTCAAATGGTAAAGAAGATAATTTTCCAGAAATAGGAAAGGAAAGCTGTTTCTGTTTAGCTAGTGGACAAATCCCACAATGCTCAAACTGTGCTTTGGAATCCGAAAATGAAATTTGAGAAGAATGTCCAAGTGACTTTATTTTCAAAAAGGATGGATGTCCTAATCTTTGATGCCAAATGTCAATGTTGGCTGTGGATACTGCAGTGCAAAGTGATAAAGGAAGAGAGTAACGAATGAGAGAAGATTTCTGCAGTTCCAGAACGTAAAGATTGTGCTTTTGCTCACCCTTGCCAATCATCAATTCCCGAGTAGGATCCTGAATCATGTAAGAGTTATGAGTAAAAGTGACAGTATATGAAGAAGATCTTGTCAGCTAGGGGTGGCCATTTCGGGTTTCGGTTCGGTTTTCGGTTCGGTTATTTCGGGTACGATTATTTCGGTTATAAAAAAATCATACCCAAACGGTTATATAGATTTAATCGGTTCGGTTCAGTTCGGTTTCGGTTCGGTTCGGTTCGGTTTTTGCATAATAAAATTATAACCAAACGGTTATATTTTCTGGTTTATTCCGTTCGGTTTTAGATCGTTTCGGTTCAGTTATGATATATTTTTTTAAAAAATTTATTAATCCTACATAAATTTCAAAATATCTATTTAAATAAATGCACAAAATGATTAATGATGTAAAATAAAATTATAAAAAAATCTAAAAACTTCAATAATTAGGATAAAAGTTAAAAACATTACATTTTATGGTTTATTGGGTGAAATATATAAGGTTAAAAGTGAAGTATAAAAAAATAATACTAATAATAATGAGGATAAAAATTAAAATATTTAAAAAACTCAATAACCGTTCGGTTAACCGCGGTTATTCGGTTATTACCGCTCTTATTCGGTTCGGTTCGGTTCGGTTATTCGGTTAATAACCGAAATGGCCACCCCTATTGTCAGCGCACTAATGCTTAACAAGTTATAGAATCTCTGTGGCAGATGATTAAGGTTTGTAGACTAATTAGCTGATTAGGTAGCTCCCCCCCCCCTCAATCTGTTATTTCGAGGGATTTGGGAGCGGTAAACAAGCTCCAGGAACCGGGGATCTTAAGCAATTCGGAGACAATTCAGGTTCGATTTTCTTTTCTCGTGATGGGTTTGATCTTCCAAGTTTCGTGGAATGGTGTTTTTTTGTCATCATGCTTTTTTTCCCAATATGTAATGCAAACTTAAATTGCTCCTTGGTGGATTCGTTATTCTGCGTTAATTGTTTGTCAGCTACTCTCTTACGTTTCACTATATAGCCTCATCTTCCAAGAGGAGCGAAGAAGGTGAGGGAGAATTCCGGATGCTGGTTTGATGTGGAATTAAATGACTAAATTTGACGGCGGATTCGGGTTTATACATTGGCTCTTACCTTCTTGGAGTTTCTCGCGTTCACTGGAAAATTTATGACTACTAAGACATGTTTAGGAGTTGCCTTGTTTATGGTGATGGAAGTTGCTCATGTTATTGGAACACTTGCTTTGACGAATTTTTGTGTTGATGTATGTGTAAGAGGTTATGCATAAGAAATCTAAACCTTTGTAGGACCGATATTACGTTTTTTTTGTGTCCTCGGTCATTCAATGCTTGTTCTCCTAGAGAACTGCTCTGTTCCAGTGCGCTTTCAGGAAGAAATTATCACATTTCATTGCTTAAACTACAATGATTTAGTTTGTCTCATGTGCAACGCTTTCCAATGAACTTTCATATTCTTCTTCCAGTTCAACTCATTGATGATTTCTTTGGCGCAGAAGATACTGTATGTGATGCGTTTGAGTTGGATGGATTGGAAGATGAAGAGGAGGAATTGCCAATCGATGGATTAGATATGGAAGACTTTCTGTTTGATCAGGAAGAGGTTAGCATCCCTCCCTCTCTCATTCTTTCTTTCCCTTCTCCTCCATGGTTGCGCTTTGTAGCGATCATAAAAACTCAATGAGAATAAGAAGTACCACCACTCGAGAACAAAGATACGAAGATTCTCTTTGTTTTGGATATTCTGATGCAACTAATGATTGTCTCCCTTATATTTGCAGTGTGAAGATTCTAGAACTTTGTCTGGCATTGATGATCTTGCTTCTACATTTTCAAAGGTTAGCGCCCACTTCAGCAAACTTGATAATTGGTCTAAAACATTTATTAGGAACCTGCTTACATGCTTTTTAAAGTCATAGTGATTAGTGACTATTGACTTGTATTTTTGGTATTGTCAGCCATAGAGGGCTTCAAGCTTTCTTTAACGTCTGTGAATTTAGTTATTTACGAGGTTTTATTGTCTTATCGTTTTGAAGAGTATAACAACTGTTCTTTGTAACTTTGAAATTTTCTTATAAAGTTTCAATTTAGAGGTTTTTTCACCCAACCCTTTTACCTGAGTTTTTTGTTCTCTATGTTGCAGTTGAATAGGGATACTGATGGATCTAGGATTACAAGAACTATCACAGATAGGGGATCAAGACTAAGTAAGTTCTTATATATACATCTTATTCTTCGAATGTTGTTCTCTACTGAGCTTCTTCGTGGTAATAATTTCAGCAACACATGTATGGCCCTTTGGCATGCGTCGTTTGATGAATTCTTTAAACCTTCTGATGAGGTATTGCATAAGCAAATACGACAGTATCATGCAGGCCTTGAGTTCACAAATTCCACCACACTTTTCCAACGAGATTCTGAAACCGTTGCTCAAGCCATAGTCCAGAAAATGTCCATTGAACTCTTACGAGCTAGTTTCCCACACATCAGCGACTAGTAAAAGAGAATACTAAAGGAGTTCCTGAAACAGTCTATGCTCGGAAGCCAGGATGCTGGAACTTGACAGGACAGCCACCTGAAACCGGAGTCTGTCTGTCCTAATCTAACCTGATTCCAAGCCAAATGGTGGAGAAGTACTGAGCAGTTGATAAACAAGAGACACAATGAACAACATATCGAGGTTAGTAAGGAATAGTACAGCCACATCTTCTTAAGGTATGTGGATCCGGATGGATATGAAGGAGCTTCTTCACTGCTCCTTTTTGTGTTGATACTCGAAACGTAATACTAATTTTTCAGCCTTGACCATGTGAGAACTGTCAGAGCAGGATTTCTCTTCCACTCGACACGAATATTCTGTCTTCCCGATTTTTGTAAACGTTTGGTGTTTTTTTTCTCCGACATTGTGAAACCCTTGTGGGGATTTAGCATGGTGTACGGGGACAAGTCTAGTTTGCAGAACCGTGACCCAGACGAGGAAGAAATCCCTAGTTATGTTGGGTTGATTCGCAGAGGAAGACATGAAGATGATGGTTGTGTTTTATTTTTTTTGTCTCGAAGCCCATCTCTCATTTTGTGTTGGAATTTTTTTTTTGGGGGGTTGAGACATTTTCATTCTATTGTACTTATATACTTTGATAACAATTTTTCTATGGATGTATGATCAAAGCCTCGGCTCAGTACATGTATGAAACAAGTGTGCATTGTGATGGTTCTGTTCATTGGAATTGGAGTTTTATGTATGTTTTTGCTTCTGAGATGCATCCTTTATAGGGAATTTGTCTACAAGTATCTCTCGTAAAAGATCAAAGCCTTTTTCTTTGTCTATTGGAACGGACTTGTTCGAAGAGGGAAGAGCGTGCCATACACGCGCGCTATCAGCGCGTGAACGGTTCTTCTAGAGCGTGCCATACACGCGCGATATCAGCGCGTGAAAGGTTCTTCTCTTCTTCCTCAGTGTTGGATAACAAGAGGAACCCCTAGCGGCTAGCGGTGGCCGAGTGTCAACGGATCTAACCGGAGTGCTCGAGAAATATCCCACCAAAAGCAATTGTCTCCATGGGATGCTTTTTGTTGGTTTTGCGGAAAAAGAATTGAAACTTTCACCTTCTCTACGAGGCTCCTCCCTGTTTGTCCGATCGCTGATTTTTAGGGCTTCTGCTGCTTGAGCCCGTTGCACCCATGGCGACTCTGTTGAACACGGTCTCTTCCATGGCGGCCAATCCATTTCCGGAGACAGCGAGAAAGCCCATAGGGGTTATCGCCCATATCCCGACAAGTTTCCTCCATTTCTCGCTCAACAAGGGTTTCTCCAGGGTTTTGGCTTCGACCCAGATCACGTTATCCACCAAAGACTCCGCCTTTACCTTACCCGACTGGAAACCGGGTCCGGGTTCGTATTCAGATGACCTGAGAAGCAAAGAGCCCAGGTTGAATGATGCGTTCTCTCAGCTCGAATGTATGGTCATGGAAGGGCATAAACCCAATGTTGTCCAAGCCACTCAGCTCTTGTATGATCTGTGCAAAGCCAATAGGCTGAAGAAAGCGATTCGGGTTATCGAGCTTATGGTTAGCTCCGGAATCATACCCGATGCAGCAGCTTACACTTATCTCGTCAATCTGTTGTGCAAGAAAGGGAATGTTGGCCACGCGATGCAGCTCGTTGAGAAAATGGAGGATCATGGTTATCCAACGAACACCGTCACTTACAATTCCCTCGTTCGAGGTCTTTGCATGCTTGGGAACTTGAGTCAAAGCTTGCAGTTTGTTGAGAGGTTAATGCAGAAGGGTCTTGTCCCCAATGCCTTTACCTATTCCTTCTTGCTCGAGGCTGCGTATAAAGAACGAGGAGCGGATGAGGCCGTGAAGCTCTTGGATGAGATCATTGCGAAAGGTGGAGAGCCGAATCTGGTGAGTTATAACGTTCTGCTGACCGGTTTTTGCAAAGAAGGGAGATTAGATGATGCAATGACACTGTTTAGGGACCTGCCGGCAAAAGGGTTTGAGCCAAATGTCGTGAGTTATAACATCTTGTTAAGGAGTTTGTGCTGCCAAGGTCGGTGGGAGGAGGCGAACTCGCTCTTGGCTGAGATGGACTGTGGAGATCGAACTCCATCTTCAGTGACCTACAACATATTAATCAACTCGCTTGCTTTCCATGGAAGAACAGAGCAGGCCATGGAGGTTTTGGATGAAATGATGAAGGGGCATCAGTTCAAGGTGACTGCCACAAGCTATAACCCGGTAATTGCCCGTCTCTGTACCGAAGGGAAGGTTGATCTTGTGGTGAAATGCCTAGACGAGATGATATACCGACGTTGCAAGCCTAATGAAGGAACATACAATGCCATTGCCGCACTCTGCGAGCAGAACAAGGTGCAGGAAGCATTTTACATAATACAGAGCTTGGGGAACAAGCAGAAATCCAACACACAGGATTTCTACAAAAGTATAATCTCAATCTTGTGCAGGAAAGGGAATACATACTCGGCTTTTCAGCTCTTGTACGAGATGACTAAGTACGGGTTTGAACCAGACTCCCACACTTATTCGGCTCTGATCAGAGGTTTGTGTATGGAAGGGATGTTTAACGAGGCAATGTCGGTTTTGGTGATTATGGAGGAGAATGAGCACTACAAGCCAACGGTGGACAATTTTAACGCATTGATACTCGGGTTTTGCAAGTCTAGTAGGACGGATTTGGCATTGGAGGTGTTCGAGACGATGATTGAGAAAGGGCGAATGCCCAACGAGACAACATATGCAATAATCGTGGAGAGCATAGCCCACGAGGACGAACTCGAACTGGCGAAAGAGGTTCTGGAAGAGTTGAGGTCTCGGAGAGTGCTTGGTCAGAATGCAGTGGATAGGCTTGTGATGCAGTTTAACTTAGATTGATTGATACGAATCCATGCAGATTTTGATATATTTCATGGATTTCCATTTTTCTGTCATTTGACAAAGAGATCAATGTCTATGTAAGGTTATGAGATTTCATTTTTTATATATATAGACTTAGCTCTCAAAACAATTACCATCAGAGGTCAATAAGAAAGGCATTTTATGGGGTCAAATCATAAATTTTGATCAACCAAACGAGTAGGAAGGGACAAGACATATATTAGAAACAATCTTCATATATTGACTGCAGTAACCATGTTGACAAAAGCTTGAAAGTCTTGAGACTTTTTTAACACAAATCACTAGAATTCACCAAGAAACAAAGAGAAACCATGGCCTTAGGCAGGACTTGCCAAAAAGACACAGAAGAATCCTCGTCCCTCTCAGGAGGATGTCGATAAATTCCTGAAAGGGGAGAAGATTTAGTGTTCATCAGAAGCAAGAACCGCGAATGCACGATCCCGGGCCTCTACTTTGATCGCTGTCTCATCTTTCTTCTCTTCCTCTTAAGCCTCCTCATGCGCTCCTTCTTCCACTGCAAATTACACAGACCGACAATTAGCCAAACAATGACTGCTGTTACAAACTACTCAACAGAGGAGGATCAAATCGAATATGTTTCAGCTTAACGAGCATTTGATCACGAGGATGGCAAGAACTACGTATGAATGGTTAAACCCGGCAACGTAGCGAAAAACCCATTGTATGAATACTTGCCAAGCCTGAGGACTAAGAAAACAACTTGGGGAGGAAGGGACTGAAGATGATGGTGGATGGAGGGTTTGGGATTACCGTGTGAGATGCAAACTGAGAGCATCTGATCGATGTTATCGATACGCCTCTGCACATTTTTCAGGACGTAGTTCAGTGCCGAAACCCTTTGCCTAACGCTGGAAATCCTCGAAGCGTTTTGAACTATGAACGGCAATGGGGCGTTTTCCAGTAGTTGATCAAGCTCTGTTTTCATCATCAACAATAATGTCAATTCCGGGAGAGATCTTGATGCTAGGGTACATGGTTAGAACACAATGGCATTGTCAATTAACAGCTCAAAAGATCGATCCTTTTGGTTAACCGAAAATATGGAGATACTGATCAGAAACTTGAGAAATTGGAAATCGGTCTCGGAATTTAAGGGTCCAAACCAAATGCGAATCCTTTCGGCTAAAACTAACTCAATTGGGTCGTCATCACCAGAATCTTTCCGATACACAGTTGAATCGATCCAAGAAAAAGTCAAAACCTGGGTAAAACTACCAAAGCAGATGCAATCGCGATAAGACGCTTCTGAATCGAACAAAGAAGCAAGTATTCCTCTGAACAACAAATTCACAGGGAATTCGAGATCAATTCAAGTGGCTAATACCGACTGACCTTGGATGAGTCGACTGAGAGAATCCGAGAGCTCGTCTTGGCTTCTCATCGTGTCCTGGGCCTTGGAATCGAAATCCCTAATCACGGAGTCGAGCATCGCCGATAAACCTCGGGCCAGGGCTCCTCCACCGATACCGCCAATTCCAACTCCGTCATTTGCTGCTGCGGTAGAAGACGAGTGACATACGGCATCTCCGGCCGGAGAAGCAAACGAATCATCGGCTGAATCGCGGTGGTCTGCTTCTCGTGCCTCCTCCATTTGTCCGGCAAGAAAATCATGCGGAATCTGATGTTTGTATATATATACACACATGCGCATAATCGAAAACTTTAATTCTGATAAAACCGAAAAGAAAAAAAAAACCGTGACTACAAAACGCGCGAAAGCATAGCGTAAGAACGAAATCAACAACCGTGACTACAAAACGAATTTCGACGGAGACGATGTTTACTTTCCTGGGTTCTTCGTGACGGAGATGGCTGTGGTTGGGTTTTTTTACCCAAATAACCCACTTGTTCGCATCTATTTCATTTGTACACCACCGAAAATATAACACATTTTTTTTCCTGCGAAAAGACGAAATTACCCTTAATGAATTACGATATTTATCCGTTCAAAAACAACTTCGTTATTACGACTTCGTAATTAAGTCTAAATATAGTTACAATTGATTCTAAAAAAGTTAGCAAAAAATCATCTGTCTTATTTTTAGTTGTATATCAGTTATATTTTAGTCGTAATAAAATCGCAAAAAATAAAACGAAAATGGTATTTCAGATTTTTCCCACCGAAAAATGGGTTAAAATTGAAAAAAAAAAATTTTTTTGTGGTGTACACTGAAATAGATGCGACCCAAGTGGGTTATTTGGGTTATTTTCCCTGTGGTTGTGGCCGTGGCCGTGGGGTTTTTTTAGACAATTTTCAACCGAAAAATGGATTAAAATTGAAAAAAAAATTGTTTTTTGCCGGTGATGTATTTCAGCTGCGTTATTTGAATAAAAAAGCCGTGACTGTGGCTGTGGGTGGGACAAACTTCACAAATACACCTTGAACGTCACATGTCTTTCAACGATACATCCCAAAAATATAAAGAATTAACAAAAGACAATCTTACCCTTAAAATTGTTAGAAAAGACTACTACAACCTTAATGAAAACAAGCATGTAACATTTGCACACGTGGGATAAAAAAATTTACCATATAAAAATAAAAAAGAGTTTAATATTACAAATTTAAAATAAAATAAAATAATAGAAAAAGAAAGACGTTGAGAGAAAGAAAAATTGAATAGCGAAACATATATACGAAATCGAGATCGAGGGAAATCTATCGAAATCTGGGAAATCTAACGAAATCTAAATAAATACTTAATCTTTAATTGATATTTAATCTAATTCTTCAATTATGAGTTATATTATTTTGATTCATTTAATTAAATAGTTTATTTTAAATTATTTTAAAACTTTTATAAAAAATATTTTAAGAATTAATAACTTATCTATTATGATGTATAATATATAAAACTAATTAGAAATAATTAATAAATAAAATTATATTATAACACTATCTATCACTAAAAATCTAGAATATAAAATTAACAAAATTGATAATACAAAAGCGTAAATGTTAATATATTGAACTAATTAATAAAAATTATTAAATAAATAAATAGAAATGATTAATAATCAAATTATATTATAACAAAATATTTATTTTTAAAAAAAAATATTAGTGATTATTTTGGTTATTTTTTAATTCAGATAAGATTTGATTAGGTTTTTATCTTATTATAGTTTTGTATAGATCCATACAAAGAAAGTTAAAACTAATTAAAAAAAATTATCTAAAAAGTTATATGGGAGTCGTATCAAACAGAAAATTTTTTCCGAATCAAACTATCCAATATTTTTTAAAAATAATCTTTTATAGAAACGAATTTCTCAGAGTTAAACTGAACCCAAATTTTAAAACTTAAATAAGATTGTAAATAAAGAGTGATAATTATGATCAATGTCAATAGTAATCGTGACAAAATATTCTTCTGAAATCAAATATTTTGCATAAACAAACAAATATAGAAAGTCGTATATATGACCAAAAAAAGGTTGTAAATAAGATGGGGATAATCCCATATTCCCCCACAAATTTTCGAAAAAGTTCTAATTTCCTACACCAATTTTTAATTTGACAAAAAACTACACCGGATTTCAAATATTACCAAATTCCTACACAAAATCTTAAAATGTGTTGCAATTTCCTCCATATCCGTAAACGACGTTATGTTCCGTCAATTTTAATGCTGACGTGGCATGCCACGTCATACAAATTTCGCCAAATCAGCACATTTCGCCACATCATCCAGCCACATCAGAAAATAAATAAAAAAATAAAATAAAAATAAAAAATTTCTAGAATTTTTTTAAAAACTAATAAAATAAAATAAAAAATACAGAATTTCAAATTTTATTTTTTAAAAATAAAATAAAAAATTACATATACATATATATACACTTTTATATCTATACACAATTATATACATATACATATATACACATATACATCTACATATATAATTATATACATATATATATATACACACTTGTACATTTACATATATACACATTTTTACATATATACACAATTTTTTAAAAAAAATTTTAAAAAATTACAGAATTTTAAAATTTATTTTTTAAAAATAAAATAAAAAATTACATATACATATATACACAAATAATATATATACATATATATATATATTCACATATGTATATATACATATTCATATATATACATATATATCCATATATACATTGAATATGTATATATATGTGAATATGTATGTATATGTGTATA